GCAATTTTAGTTTAGTTTCTCTGGTATGAGAAGAGGCTAAAGGAATGTTTGCTCAGTTTTCAGGGTAAATAATTTGCCACCTCAATTTCCCCATACCAGAATGTTTGCAGTATCATGCAGTAATTCTGCTGCATGTTGATCTTGTATTCACTAAAGCTTTGGATCAAAAACAATTTATAGTTAATGTTTTGAGAGCGGAAGAGAAATGAACTTGGTAGAACTGTTGAAGGAAGTGTTAAGATTACCCCTGTGGAGTAGTTAGAACTTGTGCACAAAAGATACAAAAATTCTTACGACTTGGTGCTAATATCAGATTTAGAAAATAAAGGGAAAATAATTTCATATTTTGCAGCATGGAAACTCATGCCAGATAAAAAAAGATCTGATGAATGGGCTTCCAAGTTTGGGTGTACAAAAGTCAAATGTATTTTTTTGATGAACTGAAACTTTTCAAAAGAGTCGGCTTTTGAAGACATAGCTGAAACATACTTATGCATCAGAGAGACAGGTAGCTATGTTAGTCTGAAGTCAGGCAGAAGAAGGATAAAGATACACCTTAGAGACTAACTGAATCAGAGATAATAAGGTTTTGTTTGCAAGATCAATTCATCAGCCACCAATTTATGCACCTCTGATTAGTCTCTAAGGGTGCCGATACACAAGTGTGGATGCTGTTCCAACACACTGTAATTACAGCACATCAGAGCAGATTCGATTAATCGAGTCTGCCACAGCATGGTAATTACCACGCTGCAGCCAGCCTCCATGTCTTGTGTATCAGTGTCCCTACGCTTCAAAATGGTGGCAGGAGTGCTTTATCTAAAGTTTGTCCAACTGATAAACAAGATGCTCTCGGTGTTTTAATTAAAGCATCTCACAGAGCCACACTAATTAACCGCCCCCCCCCCCCCCCCGAGCACATGTCTAGACACCCTAAGGGCCCTGCTACATATTCAAATGAATGCTGGATATAAACCATTTACATAGAGTTGCTATACATTTTCAAGCACTAACTCTATAGCCGGTTGCTCTTCTCATAGCTGGATAGTCATTCCTATCATGTGATAATTACTTTACACATTTGGGTGCTTTACATTTATTGTGTGATTAACCATATAATTGCATAATGTATGTAACATGTAGCAGGGTCCTATGGTGCATCTCTACACTGCTTTCTGCCATACTTACATATCAACATCTCTCAAAAGAGTAATATGTTCTACAGTGATTACTAGCTTGTATATCCTGTATGTACCTCAGTGAGTTAACTGCCTTATTTATCCCTATTGATATATTTAATCCACCTTCACTTCTCTCAGCAATGTCCCCTTCTCTTACCTTTTCTTTTTAAATTTCTTACTATGTAGAGTCCCTGCTTTCTGCAAGTCCATTCATAGCATCTGGTGAAAGCTGGGGAAGTTTTCCTAGGACTACTTATGCCTCTTTGTATGAATACGTTTCTGAGGTGCCCTTCTTTCTAGCCCTTAACTAGAACCTGAACGTGGTATACTCTCTTTTTAGGAAGAGTGAAATTTGCCGTTTGTGCAGCAAACTGTTGATTACTGTTTGTAATGTGCTACTATGTGGACATTAGTGGTAGTAGAAGATATACAAATACCCACATGATCCTGGCCATAAAAATGACTATCACATGAGGTAAAATAAGAAGACATAAAGCAAATTTAAAAAAATGCTTTTTCAAATTGAAATTTAATTTAAAATCAATGCTTGTGATCTTAAATGAAAAAGTATGCCATTACATTGGAATGTTCGTAACCCTTTGTGTTAGTGATATG